CATGTGTATTGTGTATTTGTATGTAGCTCAAGTAAGCTAGAGAGTTTCAATCGCTGCATGGTATTAAATAGTTTTTTGCACCCTTTGTTACGCTCTAAATTATCGTTAAAATCTCCTAGTACAATGATTTTATGATGCTTTTTGTGTGCCGCTATGAGCCATTGATCAACTGTGTCTAGGGTTTTGGCTGCTAGGATGGCTTTGTGTAGAGGTATATATAGTGCAATTATGCTTAACTTGTTGCGTGGCAGAAAGAGATCAATTTGAATAGCTGTTCCTTGAATTTTTTGGATAGTATGTATATATTTAGTGAGTGTGGGATGGAGTCCAAGAGCTACTCCTAAGCTTGCTTCTCTTTCACTTAGTTGTTCAGCTATATAGTTTGAGCTATAGATTTTGTAGAAGGAATTTGTTCTCGCTATCTCATTGTTATGTTTTAGCTTGGTTTCAGTAAGTGCTGCGATATGTATAAATTTTGGTGGACTAGTTTGTTGACGAAGTTCTATAGTCTACTGTTCTAAAGGCCTATAGTAGTGTTTTTAGAGTACAACAAAGTAGTTAATCTTACTCTAGAGGACTCTCTCTTATATTCTACATGCAAGCCAGAAGCCTAGAAACAGAAGTAAAAAAGCAGATAGTGCTTACTGTGACTAAAAAAATTTTTGTAGCCACAGACCTGTTAACAAAACTACAAAGACTTTTAGAATCCAGGTGTACAACAGACATTTTTATTTTTGAAAGCTGTATTCATATGACATATACAAGTAGTACCTCTTTATTCTTTCTCATATTCTCACTAGTCTTTCAAAAAATTTTGAAAAAAAGTGAGATTTGGCTTACCTTCTCCAAAAGATCAGCATTGTTTACTGCCAAATTTGGATGAATGCAACTATGTAACGTGTCTATTTACAAATACGATACTATTCTGAGGAAATCAGATTAAAACTTCTAGTTAAAGTGATATCCAAACGTGGTTATAAGTCGAAAGAGCTTTATATGTTAAAGCAAAACTTTACAGTAGAGATATAAAATTGTTGTATTTGTTATATAATTTTTTAGCCTTGTACAGGTTATAATAGTGCATTCTTGTTACAAAAAGAGGTATAATCTCTCTCAACTTTATATCATAGTTTTATAAAAAATTTTTTTATTTTTTTCTGTTTTTTCTTTTTTGGAGATTTTTTTATTTTTTATTTACTTCACTCTTTTCTCTTTTTCTTCTTTTGTTCATTTCCCCTTTTTATAGTTTGTTTTCATTTTTTTTTTTTTTTGAATAATTCCAGTCATTCGTGATTTGGTAGAATGGAGTTACTCTTAGACCTAAGTTAGGTTTTGCACTACAATATAGAACCAAGTGGAGTCAGACTTCTTATCTGAAATTTATATATTTATATTATTATAAATATTAATAAATAAGATTAGTCATGGCCAGATCTGTTGATATTTAAAAAAAAAAAAAAAATTAACTATAATGCATATAGGCTAAAGATATTCAAAAATTTAAACTATAAAAGCTTTATATCTTAACTAGTAACAAGGAAAATAAATACAAAAGTGCTGATTTTTATATGAATTACATTTTTTATTTACATTAATTTAGTAAATTATCGAGATTTTTTTTGATTTGAAAAACAGTTCTTTAAAAATTCTATGTTCTAAAGTTTGATCAAAATTAGAAAATTGCCCAATCAAATTAAATTTGAATAGAAAATTACATATATCAAAGTGTGCTATAAAAACCCATTATTAATTAATAATATAATAATTACATAAAAATTTTTATTCTAAAAATAATTGATAAAATTTTGTGCAACATAAAAAATGGCATTTTTCTAAAAAATTATCCGTCAAAAGATTGGTTTTTCTAGTCCATTTCCAAATATTTTAACATGGTCGGCTTGGAATTTACATATCGGTGCAATGTGAAAGAAAAAACTGGACACAAATCTCAAATTAGGTTTAATCTGGGCAATCCGAAATTTATGGCCCAAACCGATTTTACGGTTCGGATTGGATGATAATCTGAATCCGCCGGATCCGAATTATTCGGAGCACTAGGCAATACTAAAAATGGCATAAGTTGGGTATTTGACGAATCGGAAGGACAAAAATCTCAATTTTATTTCATCGGATTATTTTCACGATGAGAGACAAAAAATCCGAAACTATTTGCAAAATAGAAATTTGAAGAAGCCACAGATAGTACAACTATATCCTGCATATCTGCATGCATTACACGCTTGGATGTGATCCTAATTACTCGGACCTATTCAAAAAGGAAATTTTGACAATGGAAATGATCAACAATTATTGTTGAAATAACTTTTTGAATTATGCATCAACTATACTTAGGCCAAATCTTTCTACATATCAATTCTATTATTAGGGTTTAGTGTAGTGTTTTTAGGCAGTATAGCTGTTAATTATTATTTGTGTGATAGATAGCTCCGGATGTCATTTCCACCTTTTCAACTTATTGTACGTACGTACGTACGTAGTACTTACGTTGTAGCGAAAAAACGTGAATGCCATATGACTAGTGATCATTAATAGAATATGTGAGACTTTAAATGCGTATTGATCGAGAAAAGGTATTTGATAAATGTTAATTGACTCGAGGTGAAGCTCTGTTAAAGAACAATAATAAACGCCTGGTACTCAAATTGTGGATCTAAAGTCATAAAGATAATCATGTGAATGAATAAGAATTACTCATCGTTAGTTATAGATTCACCCTTGAGATTCTAATAGTCTCAATGTGATCCATTATTATCGATTTCGTGTAAGAAAGAAACATAATTAATAAAGACCATCTAATTATAACCCTGGAGATCTTAGTGGCAGTAAGTCCTTGGTTCTCGAACCAAATATTTCAGTTCTCATTCGAGTAGCCTTAGCCTTAATTTTAGATTTTGTTTTATCTATAAGAACTAATCATCTCAAAATCCACCTTTTCACATTGCTTTTGGTGATGTGGCAATTCGGCAATTCTGCAATGCGACAACTAGATTAATACTGCAAATTGATTTTAATTTAACCTAGAACTGCATTAAATGAAGCAAATGTTAGACCGATACCGTTCAAAAGTTTTAACAAAACAAAATAAAGTCTAAAAAAAGAACCTTGCTCTGATAAAATTACCGCAAATGAGTTATTCTGAGAAAAGATCTCAGAAGAAAACGAGCTATTTCTCTTGGTAAGAGATTATAAAGTTAAATTTAACGAAACCGCCAGATAACTTTTCAATTGTATAAGTTGTGAATAGTGGACGAATGTAATGGAATGCCAAGACCTAAACAATAATACAACTATGTACACATACATTAATTTGCACAGAACATGACTAATAGCGATAAACGTATATCCAAACCATTAACCTCAAAATAATAAATTCCCGTTTCTTCCGGAATGCAACACAAATAGAAATCAGAGGTCAAGAATTTATTAATATTTGCCTATAGTTGACATTAAAATTTACAAAATTCCACAAATTTGCATATAGAAATTTTATTAAAGTTTTAAACCACACTTTGCCCAATAGGCATCTAGCAAATGGTTGTAATCTTTTCTTAATGCTTCATTTTCTTCATTTTTATTTTTTATCAGTCTTCTTTCGGCTTTCAGCTCTTTTTTTAGTTCTTCTATTTCTTTTTGATTTTTCTGAAATTTCCTATAATAAATAAAACAGAAGTTTTTATGATTATCAGCTTGATATTTTTATTTCTTTACCAATTTCTTTTTCTTTTTTCTTTTTTTTTTTTTAGGAGCATTTTTGACTAAAAGATAATATCTTGGGTCTTGTTAACAGTGATGTGTATTGCCACTGATCGGCCACATACGTACGTACGTACGTACGTGACAAGTGGCCGTACACATTATTGTCAACATGACCTAGGTGAAAATACACTAATTTTCGATACTATTATCATAAATATTCTTACTTGACACCTTTAGACAACTTTTTTTTGGGTCCATTGCTTAAATATATTTATATATTGTTAGTTACTCTAATTATATATTATATTATGTAATAATAATAACAGTAATTATTATTATTATTACCTTTTTATTTCGGAGTTTGATTCGCTATTTCTTGGTGCCATTTTTAAGTAGAAAAAATACTAATTATGTCGATCAATTTTTACGAAATTTTTATCAATTTTTTAGTGTAACACCCGAAAATCGATGAATTTCATAAATCTAGGATATAAAAGGATAATTGTAATATGACAGAGTGAAACCGATCATCACATGAGGAATTTTATATAACGACAAAGTGGATTTTACTATTTCGCAACTCAGGTTTATCATAACTTTTTTGCATAGAGTTTGGAATCTGTATTATTTTTAATATATTAAACCCGGTTTTAATCGGGTTTAACATATAAAAAATAAGACCGGTTCCAAAGTGTGATACAATTTTTTATAATAGAAAAAACTCCAAATTACGTGTATTATACGTCACATAATACATAAACAGCAGTGTATATTTTCTGAGTTATACGCGAGGTATCTTATACATTAATTATTTAAAAATTGTTGGATTCATGTGATGTAACTTTAGGTTATATTTTTTTCCAGGGGTGTGTATACACTATCTTTGTTACTTGAGCTGTCGGTGGAACGATTGCATGATAACAGATGTGCCTAGTAATTACGATAATCTATTTACAACTTATAAAAAAAACATATTCATTAATAAAACTCTATATTTAAAGTCATTTTAACGTGACTACATCGTGCAGCAAAAAATAGACATATCCTGGAATTCTGAGGTGACACCAACAATTTACGTTAAACTAGTATTGTAATAGATTGAGATAATATAAAAATAATAACATATGATAAGTCATATGGTATTGTCATCAAGGCCCTTATTTTTATACAATACAGTACTAAATTATGGGGTCGCCTGATTTGTTTTTCTATTTGTTTAATTTGGGGAGAGATAATGTAAAACAAGATCAACAGCAAATGGCATAATTGGGGCTTTCCTTAACCAATGTAGACCTTAAATAATTTCATAGAAATTAAATAAATTATAACGGGATTCAACATTCGCCATGAATTTTCGAAAATTCGATGTGCTCTGGTTATTAGTAAAAAAATTCAAGTAACGTATATTTTCAAATAATTAGTATCTTATTTTTCACCCTATTATTTTTATTTTGTCTTATATTTACGATAGTAATTAGCATTTAATAATAATTATTATTATATTTTATATTATATAATTGCGTTAGACTTTAAAGAGCATTATACACACGAAAGTACCAACAGTGACTCAAGTGATTCCATTAACGATAGCACCTATAAAAAAATGACGCAAATTGACTACGGCATCGGCAACCAGTGGTGACGAACTGATAAGAACTAGCAATTAAAAAGAAAATAAACAAGTAGTTAGTAAAAAAAAAAAGGACTCAAACAAAGTAGAATAAGCTTATGCTTCCAAATGACATCAGCAACAGCGAAATTAATGGCAACACAGACAAGAGAAAATACTACCGGCGGTGACAACCACAGTAACAGAGGCCAAATTTTACTGTTGAAGTATGTCACTCACAAAGAATATAAGTATCAAAAATTACAAAAATTTATTGAGATAGAATTAGATTTTTAAAGTGACGACCAAACATCACATTTGGCCATTATAGTTTCAAGTTATGACTCATAAGCGACGAAAGTATTTGGCGGAGTGACATGGGTAGATTTGATAATAACTATGTAGCTGTGAAGATCTAATAAGCTTATGTTATTATTATTACAGTCATCCCTCCATATAGTCACCTCCTATATAATCACATCATAGGTAATCACATTTTTATTTTGGCCAAACTATAATTTAATTTATAAGAAAAAAACCTCCATATAAGCACAACCTCTTTAAAAGCACATTTTTAAAAAAAGTTACTATGTGCCCAACTGTGTGATTGTATGGGAGGACGACTGTATTATTATTTTGTATGATTGCGATAGACTTTAGAGAGCATTATACCCACGAAGTACCAGAACAATGACTCAAGTGATTCCAGTAACGGTGGCATCAAATCAACAAAATTGACTGCGACACCGACAACCATCGATGACGAACTAACGATTAAAAAGAAAATAAAACAAGCAGTTAGTAAACAAAAAAAAAAAACGGCTAAACAAAATAGAATAAAGTTATGCTTCTGAATGAATGACATCAGCAACGGCGAAATTAATGGCTACACAGACAAGAGAAAATATAAGGGCGGCCAAACTGTAGAAGAAAATAAAAGTACAGAAGTACTGCAGTGCTGTACAGTAGGTAATCAACAAACGAAAAAATATACGCATATCTGTGCAACCGAGAATTCTCCTAATTAAATAAAAATATATGACTCGATTTTTACTGTTGAAGTTATTGAAGTATATTACACAAGATTTTGTAAATTTTCATAAAAACGAACCTTGATATCGCTCTTTTCGATTTAGTTGGATCGTCGATCCAGCTAAATTGAAAAGCACGATAATAATTTTTTATAAGCTTTAAATAAAAAAAAATAAAGCTGTCATTATAATGCTTTATAGTATATTCTGCTTATTAAATAATGCAAAAAATTATTGAGCATGAATATTAAATTTCAAAACTACTTTTTAAAAATCATGCGTATTACTGTATTACAAGGAACTGGAAACCAGTGTAAGTCCGGGGTGCAAAATATTAAAATTATATTAAATTAAAAATTTGGTATTACTTCTAGTAGTTGTATATACAATAATAATGGTCAGTATTATTGGTAAACATCATACGTATATATATTCGATCAATCAGCATTCATTAAAGGGACGGACAGATCTACAGCAGTGCAAATCACGTGATAGTTGACAACCACATGGATAAATAGATTAGTAAAAGATCTGAAATATCTCCCAATGCTCACCAAGACTACAAAACTGGCATAGTTGGATACTTGAACGAAGCGGAAGGGCAAATTTTATTTCATCGAATTTGTTAGGACTAATTCCGCGAAGAGAGACAAAAATCTGAAACTGTTGCTGGGATATCGAAAAATCCAAAATTACTTGTTGCTAATTTAATTACTCGGACCTATTCAAAAAGGAAATTTTGGCAATGGAATGATCAAAAAATTTTGCTTTTTGAATTCCACACCAACTGTACTCAGCCCAAATATTTCTCGGTTTAATTCTTTTATTAAGGTTAATGTAGTGTGTTTAGGCTGTATGGCTGTTAATTATTATTCTCGTTGCAGTTCTGGATGCCATTTCCACTTTTCAACGTATGTACTGCATATGTTATAGCAGAAAAACGTGAATGCCATGTGATTAGCGATCATTATTCAAAGATGTGACCCAAATCCGGGAGACTCAAGACCTTAAATGCGTATTGAGCATTTAATAATGCTAATTCGAGTTTGACTTGAGGCGAAGCTCTGTTAAAAAAAAAAATAAGGCACCTGTTACTCAAATTGTGGATCTAAGATCATAATCATGTGAATGAATATGAATTACTCATCGTTAGTTATAAATACCCTTTCCCTGATACTTTAATTAGGCCGTTCGAAGTTAATTTTTCGGTTAACATCACTTTCTAGAACTCTCGAAAGGGGGGAGGGGGGACAAATAAAACGAACATATAAAATGAACAAACTATTTTTAATGTAGTAAATTTATTATAACGAATTGACTTCAAGTTAAATTTA